TCTGTTCATTTCGCTTGCCCATTTGTTGATGGGGTTGTTTGATTTTTTCTTGTTGATTTTTTTGAGTTCTAGGTAGATTCTGGTTATCAGCCCTTTATCAGATGTGTAGAGAGCAAATAGTTTTTCCCATTCTGTGGGCTGTCTATTCACTCTAATGATAGTTTCCTTGGCAGTGCAGAAGCTTTTTAATTTGATTGTTTGATTTTTTCTTGTTGATTTTTTTGAGTTCTAGATAGATTCTGGTTATCAGCCCTTTATCAGATGTGTAGAGAGCAAATAGTTTTTCCCATTCTGTGGGCTGTCTATTCACTCTAATGATAGTTTCCTTAGCAGTGCAGAAGCTTTTTAATTTGATTAGATCCCACTTATTTATTTTTGTTGCTGCGGCAATTGCTTTGGGGTTCTTCTTCAAGAATTCCTTGCCTAGGCCGATGTCTGAAAGGGTCCGTTTCTACTTTAATGCATGTAGAAATAAATAATGTTTCAGAGAACAACCTTGTTCAAAAAGCTTTTTTAAAAGTCATTTTAGATTTTTTACGTTAGGATAGATGCTCAGAATAAGAATTATTAAGTCTGAAGATACAAACACAATTAAGGTTTTTGAAACCTAAATTTATTCAATATTTTTGTCTCTCTGCATTTATTTATAATTGTGCAGTTTTTGAGATTTGAAAAGACTAGATTGCATTCAATACATGTGATACAGTTTTAGCTTTAAATTAGATGAGATAATGAATCTGAAAAGAGTTATGTCTGTGCTTGATTCGTAGATTTTTCAGTACATAATAAGTGAAATGAAACCTAGGTGTGCTTTTTTCTTGCCTTTTAAAAATGAAAAAGGCAATAGGCTCCTGTAGTCTCAGCTCCTAGGGAGGCTGAGGTGGGAGGATTGCTTGAGCCCGGGAGTTCGAGCCCTGCTTGGGCAACATCCAGTTAGAAACTTGAATCTCACTGGATGTTGGTTATTCCTTTCCTTTCATGTAAGAAGTGATCTAGTTTGAGAAGTAGTATGTTGGAATTTGCCAGTTGATTTACCCTTAATGTTTATTTTTGCCCGTAGAGTCCTTTTATGACACATTCCACACTGTGGCCGACATGATGTACTTTTGCCAGATGCTGGCAGTTGTGGAAACTATCAACGCAGCAATCGGAGTCATTAAGTCACCGGTGTTACCTTGTCTTATCCAGGTATTAAGTAGTTGAGCTCAAGGGTGGGGAATGAAAGATTTCATTATTTATCTAGTAGGTATGTCACACTTGGCTAAGAATTAGTAAAAACAGTTAGTGAAAACACCTGGTTCCACTCCTGTGTGTGCATTGTTTTATCTGAACAAGAAGGAAAATTTAAAACTTCAAGGATATTTTCCAAAAGTAGACTTCTACCATTTGAGGTCTATTTCATTTTTTTATAACATCCTCATGAAATCACAAAATTATACAGAAACAGCTTTAAAGCCAAGGAAATTTGATTCTCAGGTAGGAGCAGAAAAACCTACCCTCAATTTCCCTAGAAATGTCTTGGTCTCCTCCCACCTCAGGTGGAGGATGGCAGTCAAATACCTAGGAGCTCTTTTCACTTTGGAAATGAGCAGCTTCCAAAGATTGTAAAACCAAAGAAACAGGCACAGTAAGCAAGAAACAGCAGGAATAGCAGACCGCGAGCCGGTGCGGTGGTGTGCGCCTGTCATCCCAGCCAGCTGGGAAGCTGAGGCAGGAGGATTCAGATATGAGTATTATCAGATGTAGACAAGAAAATAAAGAGAACTTGACTATTTGAGGAGGAATAATAAACTAAAGAATAAGTAAGCAGATCTGAAAAGGAGGCAAATAGACCTATTAATGAAAGATACTGTCATCAAATTTTTAAATCTAATGGATAGTTTTTGTAGTAGATTAACACAGCGGAAGAGAAAATTCCCAACTCTTTGAGATTCAGGGTGGAATAGAGAGCACAAAAAGTAAATATACAGACAAAATGTCCTTGAATTGTAAGACTCAATATTATAACAGTCAGTTCTTATACTTACCTATACTAAATACAATTCCAATCACAGTCTGAAAAATCTTGGAATGTGCCAAGAAAATTCTAAAGTTTTGTGGAAAAGCAGAGGTCTACCCAGGATAGTAGTGGTATTATCACTAGCTAAGATGCGCAACTCGTGTCCATCGACAGGTGAATAGATAAGAAAAATGTGTTACATACATACGGTGGAATATTATATAGCCTTAAAAACGAAGGGAATTCTGACACATGCTGCAACATGGGTGAACCTTGAGGACATTGTGCTAAGTGGAATAAGCTAGTCACAGAAAATCACACACTGCAGGATTCTACTTGTACGGGGTACTTAGAATAGTCAAAATCATAGAGACAGAAAGTGAAACGGTGTTTGCCAGGGGCTGGGGGAATAGGGAGTCACTGTTTAATGGGTCGTAGTTTCGGTTTTAGGAGATGAAAAGAGTTGTGGAGAGGGATGGCGGTGATGGTTGTACAACATTATGTATGTATTTGATACCACCAAACTGAACACTTAAAATGGTTACAGTGGTAAATTTTATGTTATTTGTATTTTACCACAATAAAAAAATGAAGGAGAAAAAAAAGTAAAAGGGCCAGGAATATTTGTCTAAGAAGAACCCACATTGGGAGACTTACGCTACGAGAAATTAAGGTATTATAAGGATTTAGTAAAGCAAGGTGCAGTGGCTCGTGCCTGTAGTCCTGGCTACTTGGAAGGCTGAGGTGAGAGGATCACTTGCGCCCAGGAGTTGGAGACCACCAAGAGTAGAGTGTCTGTCGTATATGGGAATGCCTTACAGCAGTGACAGTGAATTGACTATAGCCACGTGCATCAGCATAGATGAATCTCTGGGCCATGACTCTGAGTAAGGAGCGAGTTACAGAATAATACATATAACGTGATTTCAAAAAGTTTTTAAAACAGGCAAAATGAAACAACGTACTGTTTAGAAATACACACACAAGCAGTAACCTGTAAAGAAAAGCATGAGTAACACAGGATAGTAGCTACCTATGGGGGATATCATGCTTGTAGTGCTCTGTTTCTTAACTTGGGTTATGTAGGCCCAAATGTTTATTTGGCAGTATTCTTTAAACTGTCTTTGAATATGTGTATGTCTTTAATGTACTGTTTATGACATATTTACATACATGCGCAAATGCTATACCTGCCTAGTCACAAAGACTGGGTGGGCACTTTGACTTGTTTTAAAACTGGAGCAGGATTAAACTAGTTGAGCTCAGTCTTTTCCATTTGCCTTGCATTTAGTGGGGTTAGGTTTCAGATAACACATTTATATAACTTTTATATATATTTTATTAACTTTTTTCTCTCTTTGGGGTCTTTCTAATAGCTTCTTGGAAGAAATTTTATTTTGTTTATCATCTTTGGCACCATGGAAGAAATGCAAAACAAAGCTGTGGTTTTCTTTGTGTTTTATTTGTGGAGCACAGTTGAAATTTTCAGGTGGGTAGAAATGCCTGGTTGATGATTAAATGCTTCTCCCTCTCTGGAGCAGCTCTGTTCTTTAGGGAGTTGCTGTCTTAGCCAGAGTCTCATTTGGTGAGGGACTAAGATTACGTATGTGGAGAATTCTAGCTGCATTTATGTGCTCTGCAAAGTAGAGGAAGATTTATTTTAAAGCAGTCATTGGATCATAACTCCAGCCTGGGCACTAGGGAGCAAAGGGAGAGAACCAGAGAAATGAAAGACCCATCTTCCTGTGGCTTCGGGACCTTGCTGTCTTGGAAAGAGAGGACCTGTCCACGTGCAGAAACTCTTGAAAGGGCTGAAGAAGCATAAGTTTGAAGGAGCAATTCAGGTTGGATGGAACTAGTTAAGACTACCCTTCTAGAAGGGGTGGTAGAAATGAATCTTACACTATGAGATTACTGAAGTTTGACGTGTTGACTTATCTAATTTTTCCATTCTCAGTTTCAGTAGAAGAAATATCTTTCGGAAAATTGATCCAGTTAAAGTAGATGTAGTCTCCTTTACCAGACCATACGTACTCTGTATTTCTTCCCTTTTCAGTCAAGTGGAACAGCAAATGAACTCCTGAGCTCTCGGTTTGCTGGTGTTTTGACAAAGTTGGTCATCGAGAGGAAGAACAGGCAGCAGCAGCCTTAGATTTTGTCTTAGCCATGGTCCCTGCCCCGTGGCACCCAGTGTGCCCTCCAGTATGCTTAAGATAAAGGGAAGCAGAGTATAGGTCCTTAATGTTATCTTACTATTTGAGAAGAAACAAATTTCTTTTCTTATGAGATCTCCTTTAGAATAGAGTAGGTCTGATTCTAGGTTAGAGGTCTTTTGTATCCTTCAATTTTGATAACAATTCATTTGTCCAAAGATAAAGTATCTGACTTCCTTACCCACTGGGAACATAGATCAGAACGAGTAATAAAGCCAAAAGGCTTCTGAGCATCCAGGCCAGGTACTGAACAAAGGGTTCCTTTGAGACCTGAACTTAGTCTGCCATTAAAGGGAGTTCACATCCTTTGAAAATTTAGGGAACAGCATGATGGGAGTTTGTGGGGAGATAGCCCAGGATTATAATTCTGTTCTGAGGAAGCCATGTGTGGCTAATTGAGAAATATTCCTTCTGCTCGAATGATATTCTCGGGTTGTATTTAGAACCTGAAGTGGCTTTTAACAGTGGAATTACTTATTTTCAACAGGTACCCCTTCTATATGCTTTGCTGCCTCGACATGGATTGGAAAGTGCTCACGTGGCTTCGGTACACTGTGTGGATTCCCATATATCCTCTGGGATGTTTGGCAGAAGGTACTTTGAGGAACTCGAGGTTTCATAGCTTAGCTCCAAGGGGTGCCCAGTGTCTGTGAGACCAGTCATTTCTTCCCCTCTCTACCAGCCTTCTTCTGATAAATGGAGGGTTGAACTTTTCAGGGATTTCTTTCTGGTGGCTTCCTTCCATAGTACTCTTGTTACCCACACCTCCAGGGAAGTAGCTCATTTTCAAGGAAGCCATGTGGGCATATACTGCATGCTTCTTATTTATATGATATTTTTAATATTCCAAAGCAGGTCTTATTGATGATTTCATTTTATCCTGACAAACACCTAGTGAATCAGTTAGGTAGGGATTTTTCACTCTATTTTATAGAATAGGAAACTGAAGTCCAGTGCTGTGACTGTTCCTCATTCATCTCTCTGTTGACAGCTTGGAAGCTTGTGTCTTAGGAAAACAAGGAGGATAAAAGAAGAGGCATGAGCTTTCTGTACAAAGGGAGGAAGGAAGCATTTCTAACAAACCTGGAACTGAAACTTTGAGGGCCGGGGGCTGAACTGTCACTAGATATGACTTTCATTTGCTTCCAACAAGTTCTTGTTTCTTCTTTCAGCTGTCTCAGTGATCCAGTCCATTCCAATATTCAATGAAACAGGAAGATTCAGTTTTACATTGCCATATCCAGTGAAAATCAAAGTTAGATTTTCCTTTTTTCTTCAGATTTATCTTATAATGTTATTTTTAGGTAAGTATTGGCTGTGTAATACAGACTTTTTCTTGTGACTTCTTAGAGAGTAGAGTTAAATGATTCAAAAATTTAAAAGTCCTTATTAAAATTCTTGTTTCCAAAAGAGTAGTGTAGAGTTAGAGAAAGATTACTACTCAGAAACAGATCCATGACGAGAATGTGTTATGGTATGGAATTTCTTCCCAAATCGCCAGTGGTTGAACTATGCTCTTAGGAGTGCTCTTGGTTATTGGGAGTTTACCGCACAATATATTTCTTGTTTAAAACAAGGTAAGGAGCCCTTTTAAAATAAAGTAAGAAGCTCATTTTACTTTTACTAATTTCAGTAGCACATTCCCTATGCCAAGTTTATAGAGATGATAAAACAACTGACAGCAAGGAAGGAAGAAGGTAATGACATCCTCTGAGCAGCCAAGGTTGTCATAAAGCCTCTACTTCACAGTGGGAAATCCCCCTGCTCCTCACGGAAAACCTGCTTACTGTTAATTTACGTTTACATGAAATCATAAATTCCTGCCTTAATTCATAAAAACTAAGAACTAAAAGAAGAGAAAAAGAAATAAACCTAAATTATTACAGATTTAAAAATTTAAAAGCCTTCCTAACTATAAGGACTGTTTTTTTTTTTTTGGTTAAATTTTTTATTAGTAATCAACGTTTGAT